GATAGCACTCGTCATCACTGGACAAATCTAGTCTCCACACCTCAGCTCGCTGGCGGAGCTTCCCAAAACTCTCTCTCACTGACAGGCGTCTCACAGAAATCTCATCTCTTTACGCATGCGTAATTCTCAGTTAAGTCGTTGCCATTCACAGTTCTTTAAATAAGGTGTTAAAATGAATTATAGTACTCGTACTGTGAGGAGTTTGCTAACGACGTTCTCTCTAGTCAAGAGCATCATAGGTCTTTCTAGTAGAGTTCAGGAGCGTTCTTTACAGACTAACTCCTTCCGCCTCCAGATTTTGTTTTCCTCGGACACAGAGGAAACAAAACTTTGCAGGATAAAATAGAAGTTCAGGCAGGCGTTCGCTACAAACAAACACCTTCCGCCTCCAGTTTTTGTTTCTCCGGACACAGGAGAAGTAAACCTTCACAGTTCACAGTTTCTGGTTTCAATACAGATTGTTCAACATTTTACCAGGTAATTTTAAACTACACTGTTACAAAGGCTCTCCACTCTCATAACCAGGCCATCATAAAAAAAAACACATATAACAATACATATACAATATATGAAAAACCGACACAGAAATTTTTTTGTCTTTAAGAATAAAGCTAACAATTTACTATATAGTATGAATTTAAAAAAAAATACAATATACATAATCAAATAACAAAACAATTTAAAAGAAATGATAACTAGTCTATTTAACTGGCATGTACAGAGTTTCTACTTAAGCAGTCTACATTTAAGTTGTTACTCTTCCCTTTTTATTATGATGTATCGTAAAATTATAAGATTGCAAGGCTAAAGGCCCAGCGTAATAATCTCGACCATTTCTACCTGCATTAATTTTTAGCCATACTAGGGGATTATGGTCCGTTTGAATTGAAAATTTAGTCTGCCCATCTATATACCCTTTCAGTTTTTTTATTCCATACAGAATTGCGGCACACTCTTTTTCAGTGGTGGAATACTTCCGCTCACTATCAGTAAATTTTTTACTGAGATACAATATGGGATGTTCTTCTCCTTTATCATATTTTTGGGCTAAAACAACACCATATCCTTGATCTGATGCGTCTGTCTGTAGTATAAATGGTTTAAAAAAATCGGGTGCATGTAGCACAGGCCTACTAGATAGCTTTTCTTTTAAACGCTTGAATGATTCATTACATTCATCATTCCAAACAATTTTACCCTTTTTGTTATTCCCTTTTAACAAATCTGTCAAAGGTGCGGCTATAGCAGAAAACATAGGTATATATTGTCTGTAGTATCCAGCTAACCCTAAGAAAGCTCTAATCTCAGTTTTAGTTGTGGGAACAGGAAAATTTTGAAACCGCCTCGATTTTTAGTTCTGCTGGAGAACGTTTTTCCTCGACCTACTATGTGACCGAGATATTGCACTTCTTCTTGTGCAAAACTTGCACTTAGAGGGTTTAATAGTTAAATTGGCTTTTCTTATTCTTTCTAAAATTTCATGTAAATGTTGTAAATGTTCCTCCCACACGTTTCAGAAAAAATAGCAATATCATCTAAATAAGGGGTCGCATATTTCTCACATCCGCACAATATTTCGCTCATCATTTTACTGAAAATAATAAGGAGCATTTTTAAGCCCAAATGGCATGCGCAAAGGCCTATATAATCGCCAAAATTTGTAGCAAATGCAGCAATTTTCTGCGCCCTAGGGGTCAGCGGGAATTTGCCAATAACCCTTTAGTTAAGTCTATCAAGGTGATAAATTTGGCTACTGCAACAGTTTCAACACGTTGCTCTATATTGGGGATCGGATAGAACTCAGTACGCGTTATTTCGTTTAACTTTCTGTAATCAATACACGGCCTAGGATCCCTACCTGGTGCTTCAACAAGGATCATGGGTGAAGTATACTCAGAGGGTCCTGGTTCAATAATCTTGTATTTTAACATTTTTTCAATCTCGACTTTCGTTCTGAAGAATTTCGTTCTGTCGATTTGTCATTCTATAAGGCTTATGCTGTACGCGTTTGTCACTGATTAGTTCGATATCATGTTCGATTAAATTTGTTTTCCCTAGAATATTCGAAAATATAGCAGAAAACTTTACCAACAACTTTCCCAACTGCAGGATTTGTTCATCACTAAGTCTTTCTTTAAGATTATCTTTTGCTATTATTTCCCTTAAAATCAAACACATTGGGGTCGGTTAACATATAAGGAAAAATCCTCCTCTAATTCCGAGGGTTCAACTATCTTCCTCGTTGTCAAGGAGCACCATATTCAAAAATTCAGGTCTCTTATGATAAGGTTTTAACATATTGATGTGATACACTTTATTCCCTTCCTGATTCTCCTTCAAAACTAACCACATAGTTTGTTTCTGATAATCTTTTCTCTATTTTCCCTGGCCCTTTCCATTGAGGAGCGAGTTTATGGGGTTGGTTCACTGCTAATACTAATACAGAATGCATCCCTTGCTGGAATTCCCTTTTCACGGCATTTTTGTCATACCATTTCTTCCTTTTGTCTCTCACCTCTTCCATTTTCTCTGTAGCTAATTCTCTACTTTTCTTTAACCTATTGATTAATTCGAAAACATATTCTATTACGGTATCTTCTTTTTCCTGAGGATCTAACCATTTCTCATACAATAATGCGACAGGTGTTCTGAGGTTGGTCCCGTACTCTAATTCAGCTGGACTAAATCCTGTACTATCATGCGTTACTGTTCGCAGGGCAAAGAGAGCGGCAGGTAATTGTACTTCCCAATTTGGGGCAGCTTCAATACATAATACCTTTAAGACCCTTTTTATTGACCTATGGAACCGTTCTACAGGATTGCTCTGGGGGTGGTAAACCGAACTTCTCGAAATTTTTATACCAAACCTCTTCAAAAATTCAACGGTTAAGCGACTCATGAAAGATTTTCCTTGATCAGTTTGAACCTCCCTTGGAAAACCCATCCGACTAAATACCTGCAAGAGTGCACTTACAACAGATTTCGACGTTATATCCGGTACCGGGACGGCGTCAGGATATTTAGATGCTAAGCACATACTGTACTGTATTTCACCATATTTAGATATTACTGTAATAAGATCTTCAGTAGATGTAGGCATAGGCCCGCAAGCATCTACATTAACCTTACTAAAGACTTCCGATATCACAGGTACTATTACCAACGGTGCTTTCTTTTTGTCACTTGCTTTTCCTACACGTTGACAGGAGTCGCATGTTTTAACGAATTCCTCAATGTCTTTATTAACAATTTGGCCAGAAAAAATGTCTTAGTAACTGGTCTTTTGTTTTCAGAACTGAAGTTCCAACAAGTAACAAGTGACCTGAAGTTCCTTCATGACAAATTGCTTTAATTTGCTCTCTGAGGTTTTCTGGAACAACAATTAAATGTTCTTCTCCTCCTAACTTATTTACTTTCTTTTTTACTAAAATCCCATTTTTAATCCCATAACTTGTTTTACTTCCGCTTTTTACTAGTTCTAATAAAGGCGCAAGTTCTTTACTTTTTTGTTGTTCATCAATAAAAGTACTTGAGTGTATTTGAATTGCAGGACGTGTGGGGACACAAAGGTCGACAGGAGGCAATATCTCTCGTTTTCTGACCTCTCATGAGCATCGTCCTCCTCTTCCAATTCTAACTCATTCTGCTCAGAATTTTGATTCGTCTCACATAAATTTTCCGCTTCCTTAAATTGTCGTGCTTGAGATCGAGTAACGACCGCATTAACATTATCGACATACGACGAATAAGTTTTCTCAGTTCCTCTGAGAAGAGCCGCTGTCTGGTTGCCTAATATATATCGTCCTTGGTCTAAGTGGTCTCCTATAACAGCTGCTTTGGTGGTTACTGTACCCAAATCGCATTCAATATCTACTTCAACAGGTAAACAAGTCATATGATCATCCAACAAATGTCGAACCCACACGTGTTCTCCCTCATTCGATCTCTGTCTACATATTTCTGACAGATAATATCTACCGTTGCTCCCGTATCTCTTAGAATAGGTACTTCAAAACCATTTACTCTTCCATTTAATGTATAAGGATCTAACAGATTCTTCTCTGATCTCCCGCTTATCCGATACAAATCTGCCTTTTGAGTTTTTAAATTGGGGCACTGAGAACGTAAATGGTCAAAAGATCCACATTCATAGCACTGGAGTCTTTTTCTCCTATCAAAATTCGAGTCCGACTTTTTCCCAACATTGCGTGCATCATAATCTTTTTTAAATTGTGTGCCTTGAGGGTTTTTTTTATTTTTGAAAACGTTACCAGTGGACTGAAAAACACCCATTTGTCTACCTGATATTTTCGTTTTAAATTCACCCAATTTCTTTTTCCCAACCATCGTCTTTTTCGCATCTTCAAATTCCTCTATTTTACCCACCAACTGTTTTGGTGAAGTGATCGTGGCCCATTCATCTATAAAATGTTCCTTAAACTCATATTCTTTTCATTTAGTACAGCCAGACAGAAAAAAAACCAGAGTGGCGCCAATAAATATAAACACCTTTAACCCATTAACTGCCAAATTTTTGTTTCATCAATTTTTATCTTATTTCTGTTAGTTTACATCTAAATAATAAGAAAAATATGTTTTTCTCTTAAATGCGTCAATGGGTTTTCAGAAATTTTAAATTTAAGTCCGATCCCCAAATGGGGATCATGGCTGATACTATCTACTTTTAATGCCAGCGTTCAAAACAGTCTACGTGTAATCCAACATTACATTTGCCACATTGTTTTCTTGCATTTGTTTTGCATACTGCACATTTTCTTTGTTTACCATTTTCGGTCCGTTCAATATAATGATTACCAGATGTTCGGATAACAGTAGGACACGATTAATTGATGCTTTAGTGAAAGAATTCCTTCCACCCGTTTTTGCATCTGAGGGTTCTGAAGATAAAGCAAGATATCCTCTTGCAACCATCCTCCTAAAATCTAGCAATGGAATTTTATCATTTAAAATACAATACAGTGTGTGAGCGTTAACCAGTGTTATGTCGATGGCATTAGTAAGAAAAGGAAAATACCATTTCCTCCCCTTATTCTGATTCTGTATTTTTGAACATTCCAATCTCTCTTGTCTACCCCACCCATGTATTTGTTATATTCTGATATCAGTTTGGTTTGTGGTACTTGAATATCTGTCTTCTCTGTTCTACTCCATCGCTTCATCTCTGATATTGGTTCGATAGTTTCATGATTAGACAGAAGCATTACACAACTGTTGTCATTCCACGTGACAGCTATAATTTCATTACGGGAATCAAATCTGTAGTCATATGCCCCGCTTTCTTTTTTCCTTATCTCTTTGTCTGTTGCAATAGGGCGTTTGTTCATTCTGTTGAATCGAACAGTTCCTGTTGCTCTAACGTCAATGTCCTGCAAATATTTCATCAGAGAAAATCCCGTGAAAAAACTTTCGAAGTAAACTTTATGAGGATGTGGTGTCAAGAATAGATACCATCTGAAGGACAACAGATGTCCCAATCCCACTAATGCTTTCATCATCTCCTAATTTCTTTGGTTTGCCTTCGTACAATTGAGTTTGATAACAATATCCAGTCTGTGAACAACTGATATCCCATTGCTTGAACCCAAACCGCACTGGCTTACCACGTATAAATTGTTTGATGTAGTGATGGCCATATTAACGAACCATTTGTTCGTCAATGCTCAAACTTTCAGAAAACACCCCAAATTGTTGAAATTTGTCATTCAGCTTGTCAATCAATGGGCGAATCTTGAAGAGGTTATCACGTTCACCTAGTGGAATCCTTTATAAATCGGAGTTGTCACTGATATGTAGGTACCGTTTAATTTCCAGATACCTATTCCGACTCATGCATGCTCTAACACACAGAATGTTTCATGTCTTCATCTTCACACCAATATAATTGTTCTTGCGGAAGTGAATGATAGCCAGTGAAAAGAAGTATTCCAATAAATTTTTTTAGGCAGTTATTAGAAAGCTGAAATTGATGATTGTTTTTCTGTCTGTCGTATATTACAGACTGCTGGACAATATAGGTGACAGTTTCATTATCAAAAAGTATTTCAAAACACTCTACTGGGGATTTTCCCCTGAGTTTTTTAATGACATCATTTCGCCTTGTCTCTATAACGTCAGAATTTTCATATAGTTTCGAGTACTTAGGTTGATTCTTTTTCCAACTGGAAGTCAATACTTCTTTTCTCTTTTTAGCAGGTAGTAAGCTGGTACCTTTTGTTACTTCATTAGCTGAAGATTCAGTTGCATTCACTAAAACATTTGCCTCAAATCCTGCCACACGGTGAATTTCAACACACCCGGGAACATCAAGTGGTTCTTCATCATCAATTACGTTGTCATCCATGTCCTCATTATCAGAAATTTCATCAACCCGCTTTGGTGAAATTTCAACAATATCTATGGGGCTATTATCGTCGTCATCGTCAGATGCAAAAAAATCATCAGAATTTACAATTTCTTCTGTTTCTTTTAAAAAAAGATATCTTTTACGCGACATTTCCTGGAAAAAAAGAAAAACAGTTATTTTTACAATTTTAGTCAGTATCAGCCATGATCCCCAAATGGGGATCGATATATCTAGGTTCATTGTACCCATCCAAATTACAGTATGAGGCTAAATAATATATAAATACATTAATTACTTACCAATGATCAAGGCAAATTCAGTACAACAAAAATAGTTGTTCCTAAGTAACGTTTTTGTGCTTTGAAAAAACCGTATTATTTTTCTCGTGAAAAGTAACGAGAGAACAAGAAAAATAAACTCGTGAGCTCAACTAACTGAGTCCACGTGTTTGTTTAAGATTTTCTACCCTTAGTTGCAATCTTCAGGAAAGCATAACCACCCGTAAGGGACCACCCATGTGCAGCATGACGTCACAATGTATACAAATGTAGGTGATCCCCATATGGGGATCATGGCAGGGAATGGGTTAATTAACTTCGTTTTCATGACAGCTACTTCCGCTGGCAACCATATGGCCAACGCAATGGCCAACCCAATTACTACATGGTAATGTAATTACTACATGGTAATGTAGTAATTGGCCAACCCAATTACTACATTACCATATGGCCAACCCAATTACTACGTAAATTCGATAGGCGCAGGTTTAAATCAGAACACTATTAGAACATTTCTTTACTGCTCAAAGTTTTAATTTTTATACAATGAAATGATAAAAATTTAACATTCTACTTATCCGAAAAAACACATCATATTAAAATACAGCACTGGTGTGCTTTCATGAGAAAACCAAAGTAACAAGTTTTTAATATCTTCAACAACTTATTTCTTTCACAAGAATTTAACATAAATTTTCTTCTAATGACTTAGAAATGAAAATTGCAATATTGCACTGATGTGCTTTCACATATACACAAAATAAGCAGTTCAGATTCTATCACACCAATTTATAACGAAACGTTAAACATAAATACACTGATGTGCTGTTTATTTACGGGAATGGATTTTCCCCATTATCATACAAAAGAAAAATATCTCGTTAAATATATAAACGCAATACTTTGATTGTTTTCAAAAACTCTTATGCACTGACGTGCTATAAAATGCACTGATGTGCTACGTGTTAATGGGAAAATGTTTTCCCGAATATACCACAAAAGGAAAATACCTTGTTAGATATACTATAAACCAAACATATTGAGTGTTTAAAACTCTTATGCACTGATGTGCTACTTCTGCTTTGGGAATTGATTTCCCGAATAAGTAATAAATAACTACATTATACACTTCAGGCCTGGAAATGAATATTGTGGAAAACACATACCTGGTCTCTTGTCACACAAATCTCGGTGGAACCTCCAATTTTTTTTATTTTCTTTTCGTCTGTGACGTCGCGGATGCTTCAGTGGGAACGGAATCAACACTGGTATTGGTGATGAATCACTTTAATTACACAACGTAACACAGATACAACATTTAATTAATACATTTAGAAAAACTTGAGTACATATCCGAGTTGGTGACACGATCAGAGACGTTAACGAAGATAGCACTCGTCATCACTAGACAAATTTAGTCTCCACACCTCAGCTCGCTGGCGGAGCTTTTTCAACACTCTTCTCTGACAGGCGTCTCACAGAAATCTCATCTCTTTACGCATGCGTAATTCTCAGTTAAGTCGTTGCCATTCACAGTTCTTTAAAATAGGTGTTAAAAATGAATTTTAGTCCTCGTAGTGTGAGGGAGATCGCTAACGAAGTTTTTTTTAGTCGAGAGCATCATAGGTCTTTCTAGTAGAGTTCAGGAGCGTTCTTTACAACACCTAACGTACGCGACGGTTACATCGTTAATACATTGCGCATATGGCAAAATCGTTTTCGACAAAGGTTATGTGTACAAAAATGTGTTATTTTAATTCGGATTAAACAAATCTGTATTACTTAAACAAACCTAAATGTTGTTGTAATTAAAATAGTAAAACGAAACAAATGCTAACAGAAAGGATTTTAATTGCAGCTGTATAAAGATGCGTTCCAATTATTAAAAAGAAAACTGTTGATTTTTGTTCTTTGGACAATAAATGACGCAATTCTTTAAATGTTTAGCGGTAAGGAGCGTAGAATGCTTCAATCCTTCTCGTGAAGTGTCTTCTTTCTACGTTTGGATTAATTTGCTTTACAAAATCATACAGGTCATGCTCCGTTTTTATCAGTTAGTTTAACGTATTGAAAGTCCTTGACTTTCACGCTTTATCTTCTTCTTCGTTATTATTACTTTCTGTGTCAGCTGGTAATATAATATCATCCAGTTCTTCATTTTTTGATTAATTCTTTAATTTCACTTTCTTCCATATCCGAAACTTTTTCGCTATTAATTACTTTTGCAATTGTATGATTCCTTTAGTTCCATTTTAATCGAGTGAAATCTTTTATAACTGCTGATAACTTCCAAACAGAATTAATGCCAGCAAGCATTTAGTGTTGATGAATAAACCTTGAACCACGTGCGAGTGAAACTTTAGAATTAAACAAATCAAATGAAAACATTTAAGATAGAGCATATAAACGAAATCACGTTCCACAAATCTGCCCTCGGCAAGGGTTTATTGTACTTCGGATTTCAGTATCATTACAGAGATTTAACCACTTCACCGTTTGCCCCGATAGAGTATCGTCAGTTTGAAATGTTTATTTAACCGTCAGCGACGGCAGACTATCGTCGAGGTGAAATTTGGCATGAACCGTGACCCCCGAGAGAGATTCGACGCTTCTTATTTTTCCTACCCCTCAGTACCAGTCGAAAAGGAAAAGAAGTGATTGATGGCTTAATTGACCAGACTCACTCCACAGATTGTACCTGAAAAGCAAACGACGGGGGATCGCTTTTTCCGAGGGAATAATCCCCCTTAACACAGATTTCGAGAGATGCACAACAATTCACACACCTTCCCATTAACTGACAAACAAGTTTGAAGGTTTTAAATGCTATCCTTTCAAATCCGAACGTGGCCTTTTTTTTTTTTTTTTTTTTTTTTTTTTGAGTACATACACTGTATACTCTGAACTCTTTCTGAAGTAATAAGAATTTCGCATAGAAATAATTCCCTTACCCCTTCATGATTAACTTAGTATAAATAAAATATTTTCTGTTTTAATTTTGATTCCTTGAAGAATTTTTTTTTTTAACTTTTTGAATGTAGAGTAATGAATTCACTTTGAAAACGTACCACTTTTTCATGTTATTTGGCTGTTTTTTAGTTGAAGTGATTGTATTCGCTTTTGTTTTATTTTATTACTGTGAGAAGTAAAGGAAGTTTATAAGAGCGAAAATTTTTGGGGTTCATATTTCATCGGAAATATCCATTTTGCCCGTTCCCAAATCCATTTTCACAATCCTTTTCCAACTGTGCGTACGGACAGAATAAAGAAGTCATTTTTTCTAAAATGGGTAGTTAAACAGTAAAATAGATTCAAAATAGATTTTTTTTCCTGACATCTGTATGGTACGTACATACGTATGTATGTATCTCGCATAACTCAAAAACGATTAGTCCTATAACAATGAAATTTTGTATGTTGGGCAGCTATAACATCTAGTTGTGCACTTCTCTTTTTTATTGCAATCGGCAGTACCATATATATATATATATATACTGCCCCTTACCAGCTTAAATGTTTTTACACTGCTTTTATTTTATTTTCTCAATCTTTGGTGGTAGTCATGTATATCCAATTATGAAAGTATTATAAATGATGAAAATATGCATGTTTTGACAATGTCAAATTAAAAGAAAAAAAATTATTTGGATAAATATTGAAATCTGTCTTTCAATGTGTTCTTCAGGTTCCCATGCCTATTTAGGCTAGTTCTGTACTCGTTATGAAAAAAAAAAAAAAAAAAAAAAAAAGTTACAAGAAGCTTGACATCTGCACGACAAAAATTTCCCGGGATATTCAGTGCTATTTTTCGTCTCATTTTCAACTTGCATGAGGGATCGGTTAATTAGAATAATTCGAGAAAATAAGTTTAAAT